AAGCCAGGCCTGGGGACGGGGGCAGCACTGGGGAGGGCTCAGACTTGGCCTGCCTCCCCCACCACTAGGCCTGGGGCCAGCCCTGACCGCATGAGCTTCCTGGCTGGTTCAAAGCCCCAGGCAGACTCTGCAGGTGGGATGTGGCAGTCCTCATCATAATGCCTGCTCTGGGGTGAGCCTCCTGCAGGCCTCAAGCAGAGGCCTTTCTGGGCAGGCTGAGGCAGGACAGGGCAGGCCTGGGGGCACAGGAAGGAAGGGACAGAGGTTGGGACAGGGCAGCTGCAGAGTGGGATTGCAAGGTCCTCAACCCAGAGGCTCCCTAGGCCCCACTTGCCCCAGCTCATGAGAGCCTGGTTCTGAGGTCTGCCAGGACTGGGACTCAGCGCTGCCCATGGAAACAGGCGTGGCAGGGAAGAAAACCATAACCAAATATTTGTAGTCACCTCTCTCCTCCCTTCTGGAAAGGGAGGTTCCCTGGTTTGTGGGCTCTTTGCCTCCTGGACATTATTGTGTAGTGAAGGAAGAAAGGTTGAGACGCAGAGTTGGAGAAACTAAGAGAGGCCAAACTGGTTCATTTGAGGAAAGATGGGGGATCTCAGGAGGGGAGAAATGGACACCCTGGGGAACCAGGGGTCTTCCCAGATGGTCCAAGAAGGGGGGTGTGGGATACAGAAAGTCAGAACATGGTTTTGAGTTTTGGAGACAAGAGAAAAGAGGGAAGGATTTGGACAACTATGGAGAGGACTGGGCTGGGGAGAGAAATGTTTAGAGATTCGGAAGATAGTGTGTCGTGCGATCTATTGTGAAAACACCTTCTTCACATCCCTAAAAAAACCACCGCCGATGATTCATGACACAATTCAGTGCTTTTGCAGAGGGACTGGTGCCTTTTTAAAATGATAATAATGCACTGGCTTGGCTCCATTTGAATTAGTAGAGACAGACATCTTAAGCAGGTTTTATCAGTGTTCCATTAGCTAAATGTTGGGTTTCCTATTTTGTGGCTTGCCTTAAACCACTTTGGAGGCCCTTCCACACTGGAAGCCACCTCAGAAATCACCTCTCTGGCCTGCAGCTCCATGTCCCCAAACTCTGGGCTTTCCTAAATGAGTGGCCTCATTCAGAAGATAATACAGCATCCCTCATCCGAAAATCCAAAATCTGAAATGCTTCAAAATCCAAAACTGTTTGAGTGCCGATATGTTTGAAGGCCAGGTTCAAAGGAAATGCTCATTGGAGCATTTTGGATTTCAGATTTTCAAATTCCAAAATCTGAAAAATTCCAAAATCCGAAATACTTCTGTAATTGTAACCTTTAATAGCCATTGGGTCCTGACCTTCCAGCCGAGGTAGCAAGCAGTCAACAGAGGCTCACACACATCTGTCCTGCCCCTCACCCTCCCACAGGCTTGTGCCTCGCCCCCCAGCCTCCTTTGCACCTGCTGGGAAGGGGACACGATGCTCCTGCCCTGCCTTCCTGGATCTCCAGCCACTGTGGCAATTGCAGGATTCCAGCCAGGGAAAGTGTTACAGGTAGAGGTATTCGGTACTCTCCATAGAGAAGTTTCCAGCAATGGCATAGCAGCCCCAGGAGGGTGTGTAACTATCTCCACTCCTCCAGCTCTGGTCCCTGCCTCTTAGGGAGCTGCTCAGCACTGCCCTCAGAGTGAGAGGTGGAGCGGGTCCCAACCTCAGACTCAGGTACCTGCTTCTCCTTCTCCCCCATGACCTCCCTGTAGCCTCTGACCTCGCTGTGAAATAAGAGTGGTAATGTCTCCTTCAGTGGCCTGTTAGGAGGTCAGACAGAATGGATACAAAGTGCTGCACACAAAACCCCAGCACTGGGAGGTACCCCATCCATGGCACCTTGAATCCCAGCCCAGAATGCAGTGCATGAGGAATTTCATCTTAAATTCCTTGATTTTAAATGCAACACTTGAGTTTCTGAACTCAAGGCCCCTTTCCTGGGCAGTCAGCTGTGCCTCAGTTCTGTGTGAAGTCAGGGGATTGGGGTGCAGAGAGACACCTCAGTCATCCTTCCACCTCGGTCACCACTGAGACATCCATCTTTTCTAGCCATTGTTTCTGTTCCGTGGCAGGCCTGGGATCACCCAAACACACCACACTGTTGCTGCGGGTGGCAGGAAATGTCATGGGAGAGGGTCAGGGTCCCCCTGCAGCCCCCCACCTCCTCTCTCTGTCCTTCCCCTCTACTACATCCTCCCCAGCAGCAGTGAAGTTTGGAGCTGTTGCTGGCTACAATGAGGGGGAAGGGTAGGGGGGAGAAAAAAAATCTAAGTTAACATCTCAGCTGGACGTGGTGACTCACGCCTGTAATACCAGCACTTTGGGAGGCCTAAGTGGATGAATCACCTGAGCTCAGGAGTTTGTGACCAGCCTGGCCAACATGGTGAAACCCCGTATCTACTAAAAATAAAAAAAAAATTAGCCAGGCATGGTGACGGGCGCCTGTCATCCCAGCTACTAGGGAGGGTAAGGCAGGAGAACCTGGGAGGTAGAGGTTGCAGTGAGCTGAGATCATGCCACTGCACTCCAGCCTGGGCAACAGAGCGAGACTCCATTTCAGAACAAAAAATAAATAAATAAATAAAATAAAAATGAAAAATAAAAGGAAGATGGGACAGCTTTGTGTACTACACATCCCAAAAATGAGCTGACCTCAAGAGGCAGAGATTCAAGCTCTCTAGCCTACATGGAAAACATATCGGAGAAAAAAAGAAGAAAAAGAAAAAATATATAAATTATTTATAAATAAATGGAAATAACACTTCTCCCTGATTACAAAGGAAATCACATTCTTTTGTATCATTTGGATGAAAAAATATAAAGAAAAATCTTTAATTTTGACACTCAAAACATTCTGGTTTGTTGCTTTTTACACTTTTGTATGCATATAAACATTTTAAAAATTAGAATCATAATATATAGTCTTTTGTCACTTACTATATTTTGGGCAGGTTTCTATGGCAGAAATATATCCTGGCATCATCGTTTTTAATAGCTGGCTGTATATAAAGTGAATCATTGCCACCCCAGAGGTGAAATTCCTTCTATATACATTTTTAATAGACTTGAGCAAGCATTTTTGGACTGAATTCATAGAAGAAGAATTTCTGGAGGAAAATAACATAAAACAATTTGTGTTTTTAACAGAAGTGTTCAAATTATCCTGCAGGAAAATTGGTTGAGTTTATACTCCCAACAACAGGGACAGAGCTCTGGGTTCCCCTTCCATTTGTCCTCTTTGCCGGTCTTTAAGCAGAAAATCTCATTGTTTTCATGACATTTATTTGATTTCTAGTGCTTCTGAATCTTTTTCATATGTTCATGGGCCATTTTTATTCTTGGAGGAAGTTCCCATGTCTCCATTGCCCATTTTCTGTTAGAAATCATTCGTTTTTTTTCTGAGTAATTCTTTTTTTTCTTTGAGGCAGAGTTTTGCTCTTGTTGCCCAGGCTGGAGCACAATGGCACCATCTCAGCTCACCACAACCTCCGCTTCCCGGGTGCAAGGTGGAAAAAATTCAAAACTTAAATTTCCTGTTGAATGCAATTTGAAAATACAGCCAATGATTCCACTTTTCTTCTCTAGTAAGTTTGGACATTCCGATCTACTTGGTGTTTTATTATAGAACTGCTAGGGTGCCTGAGTCTTACTTACACTGTGAAGATCCTTTTCTAAAACTTTACATGTAAGGGAATTTAAATGATATTGGATGAGATCAGGCTGGATGAGAACTGATACCTGTAAATATATGTTTTAGACGAAATCTCTGATTGCCACTCGTTTTCTTATTTAACTCATAAAAATAAAACACGTTGGATGGAGGGTGGGAGTAGGAAGGAGATTTATGTGTTTTAATTGCATGTCATTGTTGCATAACAAGGCAGAACATATGGTATTCCTGGCTTTGGACCTACTGAAGGAAACATTTTTCTACCTGCTGTATGCCAGAGGTTCTTGAACACCTGGAGGGATTACTGCAGCCCTGGGGTGGTGGAAGCCCCATCCAGTTGGGGCCATGGCCTAGGGATCATGCTGGGTATGGGGAGGCTCCAGCCAAGAGCTGAAAAATTTGAGTCCTTGTTCTGCTCCTGCCATAGAATCCCCTAAAGACTGCTAAAAATCTACAAATTGAGGTCCTGCCATAGAACTGGGGAATCAGAATTTCAAGGTTAGGGCTTAAAATTTTTTTTCTTAAAGCATCATGGATGAAAACCATTATTTTATAGATTACATTTATATGGCTAGTTCATGAGTCTGTTTATTTCCTTCTGAGGTTCAAGCCAACACTTTCACTATTTCCTGGTAATAATAGAGAGTTGTGATTTTTTTTTTTTGAGATGAGGTCTCGCTCTGTGACCCAGGCTGGAGTTTGGTGGTGCTATCTCGGCTCACTGCAACCTCTACCTCCCAGGCTCAAGTTATTCTCCTACCTCAGCCTCTCAAGTAGCTGGGACCACAGGTGCATGCCACTGCACCTGGCTAATTTTTGTATCTGTAGGGACGGGCTTTGCCACGTTGCCCAGGCTAGTCTGGAACTCCTAAGCTCAAGAAATCCACCTGCCTCAGCCTCCCAAAATTTTGGGATTACAGGCATGAGCCACCATGCCCAGCCTGAGATCTCTTTAAAATTATTTAATTTTTTGTTTCTAAAGCAAAGCAACTTGACAGAGATCTTTATTGACTGAGTTGTACGAGCCTAGCCCTAGCCCTTTTAAAGGCACTGTGTGGAACGGTCCGGGCTCCCCAGATTGAAATTTCTCCCGCTTTACCATCCAGTTGTCTAGCTGCTGCAAAGCCCCAGATGCTAACCAGGAGTTACAGTAGGCCATGGAGGAACAGGCACAGCTGGAAGCATACCTGGGGCACGTGAGCCTTTGCAGAGGGAAGGATGTGGAAGGATGATGACCCCAGGTGGCCAGGAGTAGGTGAGGACCAGTGACAGCCCTTCCTAACTTCTGTGTCGATTCTTGCAGGTGAAGAAGTGGCTGCAGTATCAACAAATGGAGAGATGAGTACGCTGAGTATCTCCATGGAGAGCATGCCATGTGTGGCAGAGGATGCAGGAGATGTCAGAGCAGGTGAGACCTGACCCTTCAGGCCCCGCCTTAGAGAGGTCGTTTGATTGTTCTGAGCATCTGTGCAATGGGAGGAACACAGCCAAAGGTGGTCATGGGTCTGGGCTTTGTGGAGGTGCGGGCAGAGAGGGAGATGGTAGCCTGTCCAGCCACCAATCCCTCTCTCCAGGGCCCTTTCCCCCTGTGCTTTGGGCAGGTTTGCACATTGAAGGAGAAGCAGCATGACATGCATCAGGTACAGGAGCTGAAGACAAGCTTGGCCAAACTGAAGAACCAGATGGGTGAGCTGGGGCTGGGGTGACCTTGAAGCAGGACTGGCTTCAGAGGGCTGTGGGGGTGGCTTAGAATGCCCCAGGGAGGTGGGTGGATGGAAGGGCTTTGAGGCAGAGGGAGAGAGGTCTGTGCCAGAAGATGGCAAGTCTTGTCATCTCCATGAGCCTCAGTGTCCCCATCAGCAAAGAGGGAGGAGTGCCCACTGTCAGCCACCCACAGTGCTATCTGAAAGTGGCTTGGAAGATTGGCTACCATCTGGAGCAAGGAATCATTAGCAGGGAGGCCAAGTTTGGGGAGCCTGAGAGGAGCTGTGCACCAAGAGGAGAATTTTTTGAGAATCCAGAGGCCCTTATTGTCTGCTTCCTTTCTAAGCTGAACCCCTACACCTGGAGCCCCCAACAGGACCCTCAGAGGTGGAGCAGCAGCTACAAGCCGAGGTCAAGCACCTGCAGAAGGAGCTGGAGAATCTGGCAGGACAGCTCCAAGCCCAGGTAGAAACCAATGAGGGCTTGAGTCACCTGAACCGGGAGCAGGAGGAGATGCTGTGGGAGTGGAAACCCAAGCTCTGGGAGGAGCAGGGGGAGGCCTGCCAGTCCTCTGTGCAGAACGACCACACCACCATCAGCCACGTGCTCTCCCACAATCACCAACTCGAGGAGCAGCTGGCCGAGCTGAAGCAGATGGTAACTCCCACCCCATCCAAGAAGGGCACCAGTCTCTGGGGAAGGGAGGTACGAGGACAGAGGCAGCTGCAGCCTGGGAGACAGGTGACCGCAGCACCCTCCAGGGCAGTGCCGTGACTGTTTCTTGCTCCCTGCCCTCCGAATTTTAGAGGTTGGTAGTCCTGGGTTCCTCCCAGGTCTCGACATCATCCCAGCTGGAGGCATGGAGCCCCCCAGTCACAGGGAAAGAGACAGTGGTATAAGAGCCTCCTTAGATTCAAACTGAATTCTAGCCTCAGCTCCACTGCTCACCATTGAACTACCTTGCATCTCTAAGTCTCCATTTCTTTCACTTAAAAAGGAAGTGAGGTTTTTCCTCACAGAGGTGCTGAGGATTAAATGAGATAATGCATGGAAACATTAGGCATGTAGTGCACTTAGCAGATGGTGGTTGTCTCCCTCTGCTTTTCCTCCAGTCTGTGGCCTACAGTTTAAATGGAGAGAAAATGGTGTGAGATTTGAGGCTAGGGAAGGAGGCATGGGGCTATAGGCAAGTAGGGGCAGTCACTTAGGCCTGGAGCAAGGGGCCAGGGACCTGGGCAGGCCACAGAGCCCCACAGTGCCCTCTCTACCCTATAAATGGGCCCAGAATCTGGAAGCCAGCCACCAGCTGCCCTCATGCCTAGGTTCTTCCTACAGGTGGAGCTGAAGAGCCAAGAGGCTCAGAGTCTGCAGCAGCAGCAAGACCAGTACCTGGGTCACCTGCAGCAGTACATGGCTACCTTTCAGCAGTTGACCACCAAGAAGGAGGCGCTGCAAAGGTAGTTACTGCTGCAGACCTTGCTCATGGGTCAGCTGCAGCAGCAGGAAGCTCAGGGCAAAACAGTGGCCGAGATGGGCCACCAACAGCTGCAGGAGACTCAGGTGAGGGAGTTACTGAGGGCAGGGCCCCAGGGGGACAACCTGGCAACCTCCGTGCCTTCTCACTCTCTTTCCTGGTCCCTTAGGAACACCTGGAAGCTACCGGCCAGCAGAACCAGCAGCTACAGGCCCAGATGAGCATCATGGCTCTCCCTGGGGAAGGTACGGGAGACCACTCAGAGGAAGAGGCGAGAGCCCCAGGAGGAAAGGGGGACTGTTAGCAGCACAGGATTGAAGAGTTGGAAGAGACCTTTAAGACAGCTGGTCATTATGCCGACCGGGTGTCCGCGCTAAGTTCGGTATCAATTTGGTGACCTCCTGGGAGCAGGAGGCCATCAGGTTGCCTAAGGACGGGAGAACTGGCCCAGGTCAGAAAGGGAGCAGGTCAGGACTCCCTCACTGATGGCTAGTGGGACTGTGCCTGGGCCACATAGCAAAACCTTGGCTCTTAGAAAAAAAAAAATGAAAATAGAGAACAGCTACTCATTCCTATCTGGGAAGGGGCTGGCCCAGGGTTACACAGTGAGGGTGGGGACAGAGGTGGGCCCACTGTACCTCCCTTGTTGGGTTGTCTGAGGACTCCTCTAGCCACCCCCTACAGGAGATGGACTGCGCAGTAAGGAGGAGGAGAAGGAGGGGCCTCAGCCCATGCCGAGCATCTTGGAGGACCTGGAGAGCTGGGAGGCCATGGTGAGCCTGACTCCCGCTGCCCCACCTTTGCTGCCTCCCTCTGTGGTCCCTTCCAGACCCCCTTTTGCTTTTTGTTTCCTGCCCTCTGGTTTCTCTGGACCCTTGTGCCTTCCCTGGGAGCCAGTAGTCAGACATCATTTCACCTGTGACCACAGATGCACCCTCTGAGGCCCCAAAGGAAGACCTCCTGTCCCCCTCCCTGCCACATTTGTCCTGTGTATCCCCCTACAAGAATGCACACGCCTTGCCTGCAAGTGGCCTTTTTAAAATTGGCTTTAGCCAGTGCCAAGGAAGAGCAGTAGGCACAGCTATGTGGGCAGCTGAAGCAGCAAAGGGTGTGCTGCCAGCGCCCTGCTCACCAAGTAGCCTTGGCCCAGAAGGAGCCAGAGGTGGCAGTCCCAACCCCAGGGACTGGGGGCAATTCTGCATGGGGGGAGATCCACCGGGTTTTCACCATGTTGGCCAGGCTGGTCTTGAACTGACCTCAAGTGATCCGCCCTCCTTGGCCTCCCAAAGTGCTGGGGTTACAGGCATGAGTCACCACACCCAGTCCAATGAAGACGTTTTTAAAATTTGCAGTTCAGGTTGTGGAAAATTTGAGCTACAAATTAGCAAGAGTTTACTCTTCACATGAATGTTGTCAGATTCATCGTTTAATAATTGGTGTTTATATTTTCATTTAATGTCATCCACTTTTCTACAGGGTATGGACAGTGGATTTGCAGATGGAGAAGACAAAATTTATAATGTTTATGATCAAGCCTGGAGAGGTGGTAAATAAAGATATGGCCCAGAGTATTTATAAGTCCAGTAAAAATCTAGACAAGGACATGTATGGTGATGACCTAGAAGCCAGAATAAAGACCAACAGATATCAAGCTGTATAACTCTGTTTCAGTGTTTACACCAGAGAAAACAAAGTAGTTCATAGTCTTTTCTCTTGTTTCCTAGATTTGTTCCCGACACGTTTTCTGGTTCAGACCACAGGCAGAGAGGCCGAGAGGATGAGAAGGACCAGTTCAGTTTGAGGAAGATCCATTTGGTTTGGACAAATTTTGGAAGAAACCAGACAGCTTGGTGGCTCTCAAAGACCCTCAGCAGCAGCCCCAAAGAACATGAGCATGAAGGCAAGAAGAGGAGGAAGGAGTAGACACACATCTCTTCAAAGCAAATGAACTGTGATTATCCATAACCCTAATGACGCAAGTGCTATGGGACAACACTTTGTGAGTGGTGAGGATACAAACCAGATCTGGATGCTACTTTTTATTATTGGAGAAGGTGGGAGTGGGGAGGGAGTGTGGATAGAAAATTCTACTTTGAATTATTTGGTTTTTTAAAGAGTGGCTTTTATTTGTGCTCCTCCCACCTTTCAGCATTTATAGAACATGCTGGCTCACATCCACAATCAAGACCACTGCCTTTTGTGTGACACATAGTTCACGTTAATATTTTGTGTAAGAACAGCTGCTTATGAGTCAAGTCACCCCAACCGCAGTGAGGTGGAGAATGTTCACATGTTGGAACTGTCCTGCCAAATAAATGTGGCCCCTGTTGCGCTGTGTTTTAATTTGGAGTGGGGAAAAGAAGCTCTTGCTTTGTTTCAAATAAAAACCTTTAGACAAAATTCTTGGTTATGTTTCCTTTATGTAATAGGCTGGCACAGTCTCAAAAATCTTCCTCTTCATCAGATGTTTGCAAAACTTTAGGCCTTTGAGCTTGAACCTGGAGGTGAAAAAAATAAGCACTGTAAGGAAGGAAAGGCAATGTCTGCAAAAACAATCGATCTGAAAATCACCTTTTTATGAGGGAGTCAGTAAAAAGAACTCAAGCAGTTTTTATTTTCACCTTGTTATTTTATTTGTTTTCTCCTCAAATTCCCTTTACCATCTTTGTTGTTCTTATGACTCCCTCACCCACCATTAAAAATTGCAAATTGGGCGAGTCACAGTGGCTCAGTCCTATAACCCCAGCACTTTGGGAGGAAGAGGCAAGAGGACAGCTTGAGGCCAGGGGTTCCAGACTAACCTGCAGCATAGAAAGGCCCAGTCATGATGAAAACAAATAAATGAAAAAATAAAGTAGTAAATCAATCTCACCAAAGATCACATAATCAGTGGGAAAGATAAGATTTCAGCTCCAGCTCACCTGACTGGAAAAGTGCGCTGCTAGGTCCTCTGTGTTCTATATATCTTGCTAACCATTAGGGGTCTTCTCGTACTTCTCCTTTAAAACTGGGAATTCGGCTGAGTACAGAAAGGCACAGAAAGCAACATATTGCACAATCATTAGCAGAATGAAAAGGCAAAGATTAAGCACTATGTGACTGCAAGTTAGGCTGTAAACCTAGAAGTGGATATCTCAGCACAGACAAACCTGGGAGGGAGGAGAATCAGTGGGGCCCAAGAAAACAATCCAGTCTCTGCACTGAACAATTCCCTTAGACATACCAAAAAGGGCTATCGGCGGGGGGGGGGGGGCGCCAAGATGGCCAAATAGGAACAGCTCCAGCCTCCAGCTCCCAGCATGAGCGATACAGAAGACGGGTGATTTCTGCATTTTCAACTGAGGTACTGAGTTCATCTCCCTGGGGCATGTCGGACAGTCAATGCTGGTCTGGGGGTGCAGCCCAACCAGCAAGAGCTGAAGCAGGGCGAGGCATTGCCTCGCCTGGGAAGCGCAAGGGGGAAGGGAATTCCTTTTCCTAGCCAAGTGAAATTGAGACACACAACACCTGGAAAATCGGGGAACTCCCACCCTAATACTGCGCTTTATCAAGGGTCCTAGCAAATGGCACACCAGGAGATTATATCCCGCACGTGGCCCGAAGTGTCCCATGCCCACGGAGCCTCCCTCATTGCTAGCACAGCAGTCTGAGATCTAACTGCAAGGTGGCAGCTGAGGCTGGGAGAGGGGGGCCTGCCATTGCTGAGGCTTAAGCAGGTAAACAAAGCTGCCAGGAAGCTCGAATTGGGTGGAGCCCAACACAGCTCAAGGAGGCCTGCCTGCCTCTGTAGACTGCACCTCTGGGGACAGGGCATAGCTAAACAAAAAGCAGCAGAAACCTCTGCAGATGTAAAAGTCCCTGTCTGACAGCTTTGAAGAGAACAGTGGTTCCCCCACCTTGGAGGTTGAGATCTGAGAATGGACAGACTGCCTGCTCAAGTGGGTCCCTGACCCCTGAGTAGCCTAACTGGGAGACATCCCCCACTAGGTGCAGACCGACACCTCACACCTCATGCGGCTGGGTACACCCCTGAGATGAAGCGTCCAGAGCAAGAATCAGACAGCAACACTCGCTGTTCAGCAATACTCTATCTTCTGCAGCCTCCGCTGCTGATACCCAGGCAAACAGGGTCTGGAGTGGACCTCAAGCAAACTCCAACAGACCTGCAGCTGAACGTCCTGACTGTCAGAAGGAAAACTAACAAACAGAAAGGACATCCACACCAAAACCCCATCAGTACGTCACCATCATCAAAGACCAAAGGCAGATA